ACCCTAACCCTAACCCTAACCCTAACCCTAACCCTAACCCTAACCCTAACCCTAACCCTAACCCTAACCCTAACCCTAACCCTAACCCTAACCCTAACCCTAACCCTAACCCTTCTTCTTACCACCGCGGTGAAATACGCAGAACTTTTGATTTGTGTCGAAATAATCGTGTACGTCCGGTCAACAAGAGTTGGTCGATGGATTCAAGCAGCTGGAACCTTGCTATATGGGCACGTGCACTTGCCTCTGGTCAACACGCCGTCTTGGGCTGATTGAGCTTGTGCCATGTCTCGGAAAGTTGAGCATACATAGACGGTTCACCATAGTATTGCACCAAATGACGCTCATTAGATATTAAAGACCGGTTGCCGGGATGAAGGGAAAGGGGGGGTGAGTTAAACACGACCATGCCTTAGTAGATGCTACCGGAAGGTAGGAACTGCATACCCTCTGAACGTACCGAAGCACGATCGCCCGTGTGGGCTGTGGGCTGAGGCAATTCAACCAGGTGACGTTAGGTAGGTGACGATAAAGCATGCAGAAGTGCGGAGACATCCAAAAAAAGAATCTCAGGTTATCCCCTTGGAACATCCCCCAAATAGGCCGAAATGGTTTCCAGGACCGACCACAAGCAACCGCAGTGTGGTGAAGAAGGGACTCGAGAAGGCCGATCAGGTACGGCGACTGACATAATATCTTTGAGTGATGAGCGATGAGCAGCAAGGTCTAAGCAGAGTATCTGAGCCACGAGAAGTGTTCGCCTATCCAGGTTGAGCAGTACTATTGTTGAAGGCTCTGCCAGATATATAATGAGGGGCTAGTTCAGACCAGAACGCATGATGAGGATGATGGCGGTGCGACTAACGACGGGTGAATGGAGCCCTGCAGCGGTAACGGGCATGAGCATTGATTAATGCGAAAAGCTAACAGACAATCAGGTAGCGATGTTGAAATTAGGAAGAGGACTAGCGTAACAAGTTGACAAATTACAGTATTAGCGTCAATGGACGGGTGGAGTGGACTGAGAGATGGAAGTCAGACAGGGAGTGACTGACTGGTCGCCACCGTCCGCGTTGATGAGGCGTGTCCACGACGTGCAGTGCGGATGTCGCCCTCGTCTTAGTTTTCCATCATCTGGGACGACGTGTACGAAAAGAAGGTCGATCTACTCGATATCTCTGGTGGTCGTCGAAGGCACTGCCCAAGCCCTGGGATCTTCTAACTCTGACAAAGGCTGATCGAAGATTTATATACTTAACACGCCTTCCATCAGACCCGGGTGCTTCTCCTTTGTAGCCTCCCATTTGTATCACCTACAACCGTCTTCACTTCCAGGCTGTTCTCTGCTCTCGACGACGACCATTACCTCTATATACAATGGACACATCCGCCGCACCGTCCCCTGCTCCGATTCGCCCTGGCAGAGCTCGTCCAGGAGGAGCAAGACCAATTGGACCTCGTCTCAATCTCAACGTCAATTTGACAAATGGCGATGCTTCAGCGGCCCCTGCGCCGAGGCAAGCATCGATTGACCAAACGATAACACCAACACCTGTCCGGCACCCATCGCTCAGCCCACCCACAATCGTTCCTCCCGCAGTGACCACCAATGGCCTCGCCCCAGTTCCCCTGCTCGGTGTCCCCCGTCCTCATTCGCGCTCTGCCACCCCTCAAATCAAGCTCGACTTAGGCGCTCTTGGAGGCGGGAACGCCAATGGTCATTCTCGCCCTGCGTCACCCTCTTCACAGGACGATGCATCCATGTACAATTTCGTCTCGTATAATACGCCTACCTTGCGCCCACCCATGACTGCAGAGTCGTCGATATCGTCTGGAACGTTGACGCTGTCTGCGATGAGTGGTGCGAGCAGCATAAGCTCCCTCGCCGACGCAATCAAAGAATGGACCATCCATCCTGTCGAGTCAGATGGATCTGATTCAGAGTCGGCTATCGGCGAGACCACTGACAAGGTATATTCGGACGCCGACTTCGAGGTGATTTCGCGATTAGGGGAGGGTGCAGGAGGGAGCGTCGACAAGGTTAGGGAGATTGCAACCGGGTTGATATGGGCTCGAAAGGTGCGTGGGAGATGTCCCCCTTCAACTCGGACCTCACTGACGCCCGTCAGACTATACCCGCTCCATCTGCCCCTGTACAGCAGCTTAGACGCGAGCTCAACTTTCTTTCCAACTGCAAGCACCCGCATATTGTCGTCTTCCACGGAGCGTACTTGTCCGCTAACGACTCACTGATCAACGTGTTGATGGAGTACTGCGAAGGTGCGCGCTTCGTTCATATACGTGCACGCCGTCATGTCTGATGCCCCCTATAGGCGGCTCTCTAGAGGCTGTTCGTGACAGGATGCGTGAGGAACGGGCAAGGATGAGCGAGAAAGTCATTGCCAAGATCGCTGAAGGGGTGAGTCCTCATCCGAGCAGTCTTATGCACCGATATCTGATGTAATGATGCAGTGCTTGAAGGGTTTGCAATACCTCAAGTCTAAGAATATCATTCACCGAGGTTCGTATATAATTACTGTCCTAGTCCCGCGAGCCGAACGCCTTTCAGACATAAAACCCTCCAACATTCTCCTCACAGTGGCCGGTGTGCCAAAACTCATCGATTTCGGTGTTTCGGGGGAGTTGGTGGATAGCTATGCGGGCACGTTCACTGGAACTTCGTACTACATGGCGGTAAGAAGTCCGTGCCATACCTCCCCTCTATCCCACTAAGACACCACAGCCCGAGCGTATTCAGGGCGCGAAATACTCCGTCAAGTCTGACGTCTGGTCTTTGGGCTTGACACTTATGGAGCTGGCGCGCAGCGAGCCCATCTATCCCGTCGATCTCGGTCCAATTGAGTTAATCACCTATATTGTCAGTTCGAAGCCGCCGTCTCTTGATGATGGCGACTGGAGCGATGACATGAAGGACTTCTTCAATCAATGGCAAGCACATTTTCTTTACCCATCTCATCAATCATTAACGGGCATTGTGAACAGCCTTGCTGTCGATCCTGCAAATCGTCCTTCACCAACTGAGCTCCTCCACCATCCTTGGATTGTCGAGTCCTCCAAACGAAAGATCAATTTGGCCAGGTGGATCCAGCAGGTCTGGCAATGGGACTCTTCAAGCGATAGCCGGTAAGTGCAGCTTATCATGCACTGTGCCAACAATTAATCCATAATCAGACCACAGTCCGCAATGCGGTAAAGGCTAGGCCAACGATGAATGAAGTGATACGCGTGTTTTCTTGCTTCTTCTCCCCTGTTTCAGATAAAGCTCCCCCGTACATCAAGCCTCCAAACCCTTAACACTCGAATCACACCATACTGACCATACTCTCATAAATGATATCCGTTGCAAGCCATACGTATTCTGATGTAATTCGAGATAAGCTATATTCCATTGCGAAGATTGTCCCATTTGGCTCCCTCGTACTGCAACCAGTTCGGTGTCTGATCAAGCCAGCCAAATGTCTCCTTGACCACTTGAACAAGGCTTTGGCCAGGCACTTCCGCCTTTCCCTCCCCTCCTTCCATGCCGTCGCGCCCACCAGTGTTCTTGTCCCCACTGAGTTCCCAAAACATTGCGCCTCCCAAGCCCATCTGGTTGATCCAGTCTGCCTTCAGCCAGGCCGCTTCAGCATTGTCATATGTTATCATCTCTCGCTTGTTAGGATCGTAGGACCAGCTGGCGATTTGCTCTCGAGATACTTGCTCGTGGGCCCCCGGTAGCGGCAACGCACGGTAATCATAGCTTCCCGCTTCCCAGCTTCCAGGACCTACACCAGAGAATGCCGAGCCAGGCCCATTGGTGTTCAAGAAGCTCCTTCCATATAACGGAAGACCTAAAGGGAATCAGTTCAAGATTTCGTCGCTTTGACGTTGTGTTTTACCAATGACAAGCTTGTTAGGTGCTACACCCTGGCTCTGATACCATTGCACGGCAGCAGACGTGGATACAGGACCACCAAAGACATTAGCTTGATGATTGGCTATCGAATCCCAAGACCCTGCGTAGTCGTACGCCTGGTTAAGCTATCAGCACATAACACAACCTTTCATATGGCAGGCTGACCATAAGATTCCAGAAGTCAAGAGATTGGTCCATGTCTCGAGCATGTAGCTTCTCGTAATTCTCGGGTCCACACGGGGCTGCAATCTAGCGATCTCTCAGGAGGGAAGGGAAAAGGAAAGCCATCGTTCTAACCGTCAATGCGAACCGATAGCTAGCACCCTTCTGGTATGCATGTTGATCGAGGCCGGAACGCAGCTCTCGAAGCAAGTCGGCGTATCCCCTGGCTTGAGCATCATTCTGGGGGTATTCATAATCCAAGTCCAGCCCATCCAATGCATAGTCCTCTAAGAGTTTGACGGCGGACCGTACAAAGTTCGCCCGAAGTTGTGGAGATACCACGACTGGATGGAAGTTATTAGAGTATGTCCATCCTCCGATCGAGACTAAGATCTTTAGGTGCCTGCATGCGAAAGAACAGATAAGTTTGGATACATGGACTGCACGCGAACTGACCTGTATTTCTTCTTCAGAAGGTACAACTGCTTGAAGTTGCCATACAGATTGGTGCCCACATCATTCCAGGAATCGCCTTCATAGTGAATCTGCTCGTCTGCCCAAGCGTCTGATAGATATACCTCTCCTGACTCTGGTCGAACGTTGGCAAATGCATAGAGAATGTGTCTAATGGCGAAAGTCAATCCCGGCCCCAGCAATTTACGAACCGTGTACGAACGTCAGATTCTGTGCTGGAATTTGCTGGGGAAAGTATTTCCGGCCATATATTCCCCTATCTCATAGTTATAGGCATGACCATTCGGCAATAGAACAGACTGATACCAGTTGACAAAGCTGCTCAGATGGTTTGAGCATACCCGCCGATCCCTAGTGATGCACTCACTATGCAACATTTCTCTTGCCGGCCATGTTGACAATTACAGTCTCAGAGCTGAACTTGAAGATGGCTTGTGTAAGCTCAGCACGATAACAGAGGAAGAAAGCGAGGAATGCAAAGATGCAAGCAAATAAGAGCCCCTTTGTCAAGCTTGGCATCTATCAAGGCAGAGGGAAATGCACAGCTCGCAGGCGACGCGCTTTCCCGGAGAGCTGGGAGCCCTGACCTTCGGCTGCCGGAAATTGGACAACATCATATCATCAGGTCATTATTGTCATGTCAATTTACTTGTACGTGTAGTGATACGGAAATCGTCCATGAGAAAGTCCTTGTGCAGAATTACCGCTTCCTGCTGCGCATCCTCCATACGAACCATACGATACATGCAACCAGCACCGTCCCAACCACACTAATGACGACACCCAAGGCGATCTTCCCACCTTCAGACAAACCAGAGTGGCAAGGCCAAGCATCGTCGCAGGGATGACCCGGAGGTAGCGTATATGCGCCTGCTTGGAGAGCAGTGAAGTACGGGTCGGTCGGATTGTTCATTACTGAATACGCGGCCAGGGTGAGGAGTGGGGCCGTGTAGTCAAGTGCAGGCTAGTGACTGTCAATTTCATCCTACTGAACGATTATGAAGTACTCACTTCTGATTCGATATAGTCTGATCGGAAATTCCAGAACCTATCCTTATTATCGGGTCCACCGACTACAGCTCCGTACAGTACATGCAGATCAGGACCATTGGGATCGGTATCAATCGCATTGATGTTGTTGCCCCCGCTGGCCATGCCCGAATGGACACGATTGGGAGAATTCGGATTGATGCCAACCACATAAACCGCTTCGGAATGATTAGAATAAATGCGTGTGGCCATAGGTACACCATCATACCTGACATTGGATTGTCTCCAAGAGTATAGTTGAGTTGCGAGATGGCAAAGTTGGTGTATGTGTCGGCCTTGTCCGATGTTGAGGCTATCGGGGCATAATGTGCCAGTGCCATGGCAGCATTGAGTGCCGGGTTGAGCGATGCAGAATCGGAATCTCCGGGCCAATATAAGAGTCCGCCTACGATTGGTTGAGTCGACACTCATGTGAAATGCAAGCAAAGCTCACCATCTGTCATGTATGCGCCTCCTCTACCACCAGACGATACCCCGTCCATCCATCGTTCCGCTTCTTTTTGCCACCCGATCAAATTAGACCCAGCCCACGATGGGCGAGCTAGCGCCATTTCAGCCAGCAGCGTATAGACAGCTGGAGCCTTCGAATCCCAGTTGAGAACACCGTTGGATCCTGAAAGCTTGTATTGGGAATAGTAAAAAAGGGCCTGCTGATATGTGGAAGGTGATGATGTCGCTAGTGATAGGAACAATGCTGCAAGGATCTGGGAAGATATTCAGACATGACCAGGAAGGTGTGAAGGTGTGCATACTAAGTCATCGCCGTATCCTGTTAGGAATGTTAGAAACGTGGAGATCCAAAAAACGTTGTAGCGTACCAGAACTCGCATATGCGTCAGCCGTTGCGGGCACAGTATCCTGATCAGTATTATGATGTGTCAGGCTTCTCACAACTAGAATTCACTCACACTGTATTCGGTCATTCCACCACTGGCATGGACACTGAGGTCCCACAATCCGGCCGCATGGCGGAGCAACGTATTTGCATACGTCTGATTGGCTATGCCAGTCGGGGCCGTTGCACTTGAGGTCGTGTTGAGAACCCCGCCAGAATAGAGGAAAGAGCATGACGAGAAAGCGGCGCTGGCTTGTGCCGTGGCATCCGTGCCAGGGCTAGCAAGGATGAGCAAACTTAGTCCCAGCGATATTGCGGTGGAAGCTTACTTGGTATCGTTAACTTGGAATGATGGACGTGGTGTTGGAATATTGGTATCGCCACCCCAATAGTTGTTGTCGATCGCATCTATGGCGACATCAGCTATGGGTAGCATAAGCGCTCATCTAGCGCGCACCATCGCCGATCTGAACAAAGAGTGTGCTATTGTCCGGGTTGGCCTAAACATATTAGGACGGTTCACATATTAGGATGTCCAGGGCGATACCTTAATCATCCAGTCAAGTCCCCATCTCAGCATTTCATCCAGATATGCAGTCTGGTTGGCAAGGTCGTAGCCTTGCCCGAATACGGTGGCACCCCAGCAAACGCTCGTGAGAACCCATGACTGAGGATGATGAGCATGCATTTCCGGCACGCAGCAAGTCCCTTACCAGTGGGAATGAGGCTTTGATGTAGTCTGTCAAATGGTCAGATTGACTGTACATCTTCCGGGAAGGACGAACAGACCTCCGGCGTCATAGTACCCTCCTGTCAAGTCGAACCCGACGTCGTCCCCATCCTGCAAGCCACTACTGTTCCGCCAGGACACCCGGTTATCCGATGGTAGCTGCCCGCTTCTCTGTGCCTCATAGAAGTAGAGGAGGTCGCCAAGGAGGTTAGACCATTGTTGATTGGGTATGGTCTGCCGTGGTGCTGGTGTTGTACCTGCGTCCGGGGGAGGCGGGTTGAAGGTGGGAGAAGGAGAGAGTTGAGCTTGAGCGAGAGTTGTTATACAAAGTAATATTGAGAGAGGTAACATTTGGAAGAGGGGAATGGGAGTAGTGCGGGCAGAGTAGCGCCCAACCACCGGTACTTAAGCATTGTGTGCATCTATTCCGAGCGCCGTCTTAGGTAAACCCTTGTCTGTTGACGTTACTCTGTGATCATCAGCGGGAAGACATGCGCGAGGTATTCGGACGTGGCTGTGCACCTTGCACGTGTGACCCAAAATTTGAGAGGTAATTCCTCCGATGACCCCTTTCGGGCGCATTTTGCCTACCATGACCCCTCGGGCGCAAATCCCTGAAATGACCCCAAATGCCGCCCCTAAGTAACCAAATAAGGAAAGCAGTGGCTGTGGCAATAGAAGCGCGTGTCTCCGGTGAATCCAACGATGCGTTTTGTGAATGTTTTGCTATCAGAACAGACCTTTTTCAAAAGACAAGCTGGTTGGCATTGTGTATGGTATCTATTATTTTCAAGAACTGCTGCAAAATTCATTGCCTTGCCGTAAAACTGCGGTGTTTCCTCACCTATGTTTACGATGGTGAAAATCGGTGAATTATTATACGAGGCATCCATGCAGAATTAATTCATATACTGTAACATAACTAATGAAAAAAAACAAGACAAAGCTTGCGAATTAATTGTCGGAATATGCTTTATAAACCGACATGAAGAGACCGAACCCTAGCGCATCTTGAACTGCTACCACCACCTTTCTTAATTGGAAGGTCCGTGGTTGCTTAGGGCAGGCCTTAGGGTCATTTCAGGGATTTGCACCCGAGGGGTCATGGTAGGCAAAATGCGCCCGAAAGTCCAAAATTTGACGGCACCGCCCCAAGCGCCCAGTGTATTGATTGGTACACGCCTCCATCGTGCGCATCTGACAATAAATCAGTCTCTCCCTTCTGGACGACCACTCTCCATCTATACCCCCATATAATTCCCTTCTTAGAAATTTGTCCCTTTTCATCGGATTATCTTCTCCATCTTGCAATGTCTCCGGTCGCTGTCCAGGACGGCTCTTTCCCCGCCCTCTTAGAGGGTCTTAAAACTGCGCCCAATGATGCAGAAGCGAAAGGTGCGGCGGAGAAACTCGCAGTTCAAGTCAAGCATGCCGGGCTACAATCTCTCACGTACGCCCCGTCATCTTAACTTCGACGTAGCTAATAAATTATTTGCAGTGACAGCGATGTCATCTCTACTCTCACTGTATACGCTAACAACAAGAAGTCTGGCTTCGAGCGCGAATCAGCCCCTGTGGGTCTCCAAGCGTTGGCACGTGTATGCGGTCATGGCTTCGAGCCTGCCTTACTTGAGACTATCCCCACACTATTCGAGTTGTATATGGACAAGGGCGATGTAGTACGATCCGCTGCAGACAAGGCCGTCAAGGCTATCCTCAAGCTCGCCCCACCGGAAGCGACACGGCCCATTCTTGATGTCCTCGAGGGTGTGCTGGAAGCGGGGAAATGGCGGACCAAGGTCGGCGTTCTCAAGGCCATCCAGGGCCTCATCCCCACCGCGAAAGAACAGTTGGGTCAAGAGCTGGCATCCATTTTGCTGAAAATTGAACACGCTATGCATGACACCAAGGCTGAGGTATGCTGCAGGTTTATGCACGTATCGTATCGATCTCACAATATCTGGATCAGGTATCCTCGGCTTCCATCGCATGTGCTACTGCGCTTTGCAAGACCATCGACAATGCTGATATCCTACCCTTCATCCCCGATCTCGTTGGCTGCATGGCTCGTCCGGACGCAGTTCCAGCATGTGTCAAGAAGCTTGCATCGACTACCTTCGTCGCAGAAGTGACTGCACCGGCATTGGCAGTCATGGTTCCCCTACTGTCCCGTGCATTGAACGAACGGAGCATGGAGACTCAGCGCCTTACGGTCATCGTGATCGACAACCTTGTCAAGCTTGTGCGTGATCCTGCGGTTGCTGCCCGATACCTCAGCGCTCTTGTTCCTGGTGTGGATCAGATCGCAAAAAGCGCAAGCTTCCCTGAAGTCCGTGCATTTGCCAACACTGCGCTCACGACATTGCTGAAAGCAGGTGCCTCGGCCACCTTCACCCCGCCCCCACCACGTGACATCGCAAAGGAGACAGATGCGGTATATGCTGTTATCCTCGCGAGCCTTCCAGGGTTCCTTCTCATGCCTGCCAAGCCTAACTCTCCCACGCCAACGCCATTCCATCCTCAACTGGAGAAATCAGCCCGGTGGAGCGCTGGTCTTGTCGCTGACTTAGTCAGGGACCGTAACTTCGACGTGAAGGCATGGAATCGCTGCTTGAGTGTGTATCTTGGATGGTGGGTTGGAGGCGCGGAAGACGGGAAGAAAGTTGGTGGCAAGGTCAGGCAGGCGTTTATGGATGCCGATCGGGTACGTCATGCGCTGTTTTCTTCTGCAAAGGTGTCAACTGAACTTCCGTCTGCAGGCAAAGAACGCCCCAGCGGACACTGGTGATGACGAGGAGGGCGAACTTCTTTGCGACATCTTGTTTTCCCTCGCCTACGGTGCTCTGTTGCTCCTTAACCACACGACGCTGCGCCTCTATCGTGGACATCGCTACGGTATCGTCGCTGGCAACGGTCAGGGCAAGAGTACTCTTATGAAGGCAATCCGCGATGGAAAGGTTGAGAACTTCCCCCCCCAGTCCGAACTACGCGCCGTCATGGTCGAGCACTCGCTGCAGGGCGAGGATGCCAGCCTGGCTATCCTCGACTTCATCGTCTCTGACAAGCAGCTGAAGGGAGTGCCTCGAGAGACGATCGCCGCTCAGTTGCGGGAAGTTGGATTCGATGATGCCAGGCAGCAGGAAACTGTCGGGTCCCTTTCTGGTGGCTGGAAGATGAAGCTGGAGCTAGCTCGTGCTATGCTTTACCATGCCGATCTCCTGCTGCTGGATGAGCCGACTAACCATGTTCGTGTCACTAAGTGTTTGCTCATGCCGTATACTTATTCTTCTACAGCTTGACGCCGCCTCGGTCAAGTGGCTCCAGGAATATCTCGTTTCCCTGAAGCACGTTACCAGTCTCATTGTCAGCCACGACTCGGGCTTCCTGGATGCTGTCACAACCGACATCATGCACTATGAAACCAAAAAGCTTGTATACTACAAGGGCAACCTTGCTTCCTTCGTTGAGAAGCACCCTGAGGCTAAGTCCTACTACACGCTCGCCGCAACCTCCATCAAGTAAGTGGAATGATAGTTTGCGTGGATCCATCGTTAATGGATGACTGAATTAGATTCGCATTCCCATCCCCTGGTTCCTTGATGGGTGTACGATCAAACACGCGCGCGATTTTGAAACTCTCTCACTGCACCTTCGCCTACCCAGGCAAGCCGACGCCACAACTCAAGGATGTCTCCTGCGCTCTGTCTTTGTCCAGTCGCGTAGGTGTTATTGGGCCCAACGGAGCTGGCAAGTCCACCCTCATCAAACTCATCACGGGCGAGACGTCTCCTCAAGAAGGCACCGTCGTCAAACATCCCAGCTTGCGCGTCGGCTATGTCGCGCAGCATGCGACCCATCATATTGATCGTCACTTGGAGAAGACACCTGTTCAGTACATCCAATGGCGTTATCAGGACGGGCATGATCGTGAATTGCTCGAAAAGGCGACACGTGTTCTCACGGATGCGGAAAGGGCACAGCTCGAGGTCGAGTTCGTTGGCAAGAATGGAGAGAAACGGAAGATCGAAATGATCATGGGTCGCCAAAAGCTGAAGAAGAGTCTTCAGTATGAAGTCAAGTGGCGCGGTCTCGACCATCGATTTAACAGCTGGATTCCTCGTGACGAACTCGTTGAAAAGGGTTTCTTAAAACTTGTTGGGCAATTTGACGACATCGAATCGTCGCGAGAAGGTGCTGGGACGCGCGAGACATCGACGGTGGTTGTGCGCAAGCATCTGGAAGATGTTGGATTGGATGGTGACATTGCCCAATACAACGAAATGAAGGGTCTCTCTGGAGGTCAGAAGGTTAAAGTTGTTATTGCTGCGGCAATGTGGAACAACCCCCAGTTGCTCGTCCTTGATGAGCCAACGAGTAAGCTTACAAACCACTGTCCTTTACATGCAGATGCTGATAAATTTATGTTCAGACTTCTTGGATAGAGAGGCTTTGGGCGGTCTCGCTGTTGCGATTCGTGACTGGAGTGGGGCTGTCATCATCATCAGCCACAACGACGAGTTCGTCAGCGCACTGTGCCCAGAAATTTGGAACGTCAATGCTGGTGTGTTGACAAAGCAAGGGAAGGTTGCGGTCATCGATGAAGCATTCCTGGATGTCAAGACTGCCAAGTCAAGCCGCAGCAACACACCTTCTGCGACACCGGCGGGCACCACCCCGGACGCTTCTACCCTACCGACGCCTGCGGGTTCTGGCGCAGAAGATTCGAAACCGGCGAGTGGTGTTGCCACACCTCTCAAGAAGAAGAAGAAGCAGACTCGTAACCAAATGAAGGCGCAGGAAGAGCGGCGACGTGTTCGTAAGCTGAATTGGCTGACCTTCGGTGGGCCAAAGCCGGAGGATACGGACAGCGACTGAGATGATATGAGTCTCTGATTTCCTTTCCGCTTCATTACTCGAAAGATGCAACGTGTTTTGTAGTGGGAATGTTGTACAAATAGCGGCATAGACTATAGAATATTTCATGGCTTGTAATTGCATCGTGACTGATCTCAAATTGTTGTTTTCAGTGGTGTGTGGCTTTCGGATGCCGAAGCCAGCCGTTCAAATTGCTTCCTTGTCTGCGGTCGTTGGAGACGAACATTCAATGTCGCCGGCCATCATCATGTCCACCGCACCACAGTTACCACCGCAACTCGAAGCATGGCTGCGCGAATTCTGGCAGCGTCAGATGGATCAGGCAGAGAACATGCGGGAAGATGGATTGAAGGAGACGACGTTACCGCTGGCACGGATAAAGAAGGTGATGAAGATGGATCCAGACGTCAAGGTGCGTTATTCATTCGACCTCGTGTGCTCTGCCCTGACCAGGCGTGAGAAGTAGATGATCTCATCCGACGGTATTCCACGGCGTTTCTACGGTGATAAGGATATGTACTAACGAATATACAGCACCTTTACTCCTGTCAAAAGCATGTGAAAGTATGTGTGTTCCTTGCCACGAAAAGCGATAATGAGCTCTGATTGGTCGGTCAGTATTCATATCTGAGGTCACATCCCGCGCGTGGATGCTGGCCGAGTTGAATAAGCGAAGAACATTGCAGAGGGTCGACGTTGCCGGAGCCGTCGGGCAGAGCGACCAGTTCGATTTCCTCATCGACATCGTCCCACCAGAATACGGGTATTCAAAACACAAGGCGAAGAGAGAGGTTAACCCCTTGTTCCCGTATTTTCGCCAGTAACGCTGATGCTCAACCACTAGAAGGTAGAGGGCGAGGAGGGCCAAGTTAATGGACAACAACATCCCATCCTCGCTGAACCCGACGAGGAGGCTGGCGAGCCACCCGCACTCCAGCCATATCAGGGCAATCGTTGACACTTGTGTATCAGTATGGTATTTCATTACATGTATCCTCCGAATATAATACTGTGCGACATAACATTGTCCCTGTATGTGGTCAATGTGGTGCGTGTGCTATACTACAATGCATGGGGTTTGAATGAGGGTCGAGGATAGCGATCTTCGACACGGTCGTCAAACGGCGTCAGAAATGGGTTCTCCTCTGGTACTGGCACGCTAGGCGTCAGCTGACGGGGAACGGCGCGAGACGAGTAAGCTGGTAGTTCTGGTGACATGACTCTACCTGAAGGTGATACCGTTGGGGGGGAGAATGGTCGTACATTGATGATGGGTGAACCTCGGGTATTGGTTCGCGGTGGAGGGAACGGGGGCAACCCTGGGGACGGCATTGGTGAAGGCGGATGGGGAATATTCTTCAGGGAAGCCGGCTCCGGCGTGACGATGACAGGCAAGGACCCGTCGGGTCCGATGTCCTTCCCCTTCTCCGATGCGCCAAAATCGGCCATGGGCTCCTTCTGCGGTGGTTCAACATCTCCAAGCAGTGCACGCCTCTTCTCCCAGCGAGCTTTCTTCCATCTGTAGACAGCATGCTTTCCCCAGTTGTGCCAGACCAATGTGCAGACCGCAACCAGGACAACGATGACCCACAGTGCGATGAAGATACCGAACATCCAGCGCTCGGTGTATAGGGTGTTCGTGTACTTGGCAATCAACTGGTCGGCGAGCCCTTGACTGCCCCCATTCACATTTGGATCGCCAACAGCAGCATTGCGGATGTTGGTCGAAATCTCGGTTTGACTGGAATTGCTGAGCTGTAGGATATCCTCAGGCATGAGCGGCAGCTTGACCTGGACGTTCTGGTGAATCCAAGTCAAAGCTTCCTCAATATGCTCGACCTTGCCACCTAGGAAACACGCCACAAATTCCTGAATTGGCGGACCGAGGATGGTATTGCCAAACACCGTGTTGACAGCAGAGACAACATCGGAGTAAAACGTCTCGATGGTGCTATTGAGCGAGACTGTGGTGGTATTGAGCCAGCCAAATACCCCACCATCGATCGTTTGCTGGATACCGAGGATATGCGAGTTTGTCGCGTTCACATAGCTTCCTGTTTGGGAGGCAATGGCCGCGTTGATGCTCGTGCTAATTGCGTCCGTCAGGCCATCAACGGCAGTGCTGACTTGATTCTTCGCATCCCCCGTGAACAAAGCAATCAGAGCGAGTTGCAGTTCCACCGAAAGGATGCCAGCAAGACCAATGACCAAGCAGATGAGTGCGGGAGGATAAGTGATATAGGCCAAAAACCAGCGAATGTTATTTCGCGCAGTCGGTGTCTTGAACATTCTCTTGAGCAGGGTGACTTCGAGCCACTGGAGTATCATCATATGATGTGATTCGGCCATGAACGTAAGTGTAGAGCGCTCGTTTGCGAACGGATCCTGGGACATGCCGGAGATGGCGGCATCGGCGTTCCAGCGCTCTTTCATCGTCCGCACGCGTTTCATGAGCACGCGCCAGCGGTACCATTGCCAGGCGCAGTTGGCGACGATAATGAGGACAATAGCAAGGAGAGCGATGCCGATGGCGATAATGGGGATCTTGGCCATAATCTTGCCTAAGTCATCGATACTGCTGTCTAGGCTGGTGGCATTGCAAAATGTAACTGTTTGCTGGGCTGGTACGGCAAGTACATTCTCGTTGAACGAGAGTCCATTGAACGTGTTGTTGATATCTTGGATCACATCCTGGAATGGGGTGTCAATGCTGGAGAACGATCAGAAACATCCAGGCTTTGACTTTGATCATGGCACTTACAGTTCCGTGAGCATATCCTTGAGAGTAGAGAGCGTAGGCAGTGAATTACTCAAGCTGATAAGTGAATTCTCAAAGTCCGTGGGGATGGTGACGTTGCCCAGTTCAGCCAGACTCGGGAGTGAGATCTGCGGGATCTGTGGTGAGCCCGGTAGGAAGCTCAGGCCTTCATTAATTACGCTGAATGCGCTGTTAACAGCCGATTGGGCCGCAGAGACATCATTGGCGATGTTCGTCCCAATTGCGCTTAGGGTAGTGTTTAGGAAGGAAGTGACCTCCTGAACAGCCCCGATGAGGACAGCAAGACCGCCTCGGATGACTAGTTCCAGGAAACAGAGGAATGTTGAACGATACATGTCAACAATAAAGTCGATGAGGGCTTCCAGCGCCTGAAGTCTATGATTGCTATCAGTATCATGATGGTATATGCGGTGGAATTGGAAGATCGACGCACGTTAGAATGAGGACGTCCTTTGCTCCGTCGATAGTCCCGTTGACAGCATCGACGATGCCCTTGTTGGTTCCCTGTGCCATATACCTCGGTAAGCTTGCAGCTACTGTAGCTGCACTCTCCGCAGCTTGACAGCTCGCGAGCACGTCTGCCTTCATCGCCGTGACTGCATCTTGGACGTCATATGAGGAGAGCACAAGCTTGATAACCACGAAAATGAGCGATACGACGGGCGTTGCAAGCCAGGTGAGCGAATAGTGATCCACTAGCCTGAGGTAAGGTGGGAGTGGGGTGTCCACTGTTGCGGGATCGACGGGTGCGCGGAATCGGTCTGGCATGGGTGTCGCTGTGATGGGAAGAATGCTCTCACCAGGAGAGTTGGAACGAGGAAGATGGTGGTAATGAGGAGGAGGGGATATGGAAGAAGGAGTGGTGATCATTGTGAATAGGAGTGAATATGTGTTGAAGGCCAAGACCTTCTATGGCCAGTGAAAGGGAGAGTGAATCGAGGATGGCCTGTGGGTCTTGACTCGCGCACTGGTGGACAGAACGGGTATGGAAAAGAGAAAGAACAGGTAACCCCCGAGTACGCCATGGTTTTGAGGACTTGTACTGGACATGCATTACTGGCGTTAGCCCAATTATGTTGGTGAACAATCAAGAGACGAAGATGGTTTATTGTGTGTGGTCTGTTGGTACAAGCAAGAAGTAAGGTACATCACCGCCACTGATCAAATGAAATGGACCCTAACAACGCTTTGTTTGACTCTCGTTCACCATCCTGTACGAGTACTGTCTAATTTGGAAATATTTATCAACTATTCAGCATACGAATGCACTATGTACTCTGAAGTTCAAGGGATAGTCCATGAGCTCTGTGTTCTATCACCGCCATTCAACCGCCACCTGTACGAACAATAGTCGCTAAATCCGCTATGGAGGAGCGCCACTCACGTGCCCTGCTATCGGGCCTTTGCCGGCGTCGCAACCCGCCAATTCCCCTATCCCTTCCCTCACTCTCACCATGCTCCGGTTGCTCGCGCTAACCCTTCTGCTCATCACCGGATTTGCACTAGCAGATGAAACAGTCCAGGATGCTGGTAAGCCGTTTATCTCCCAGATCAACAATGACCAGAGATGCTCACGATATGGTCTTGGTAGCTAGGTTGGCTCGCCAGCTCTTGCAACAGGAGACTATAGGGAACCTCGCAACTGTTTTTCCCTCATCGCATCCCGTCCTTCCGGGACAGCCGTTCAGCCTCATGGAGTGCTTTGCTCCGTGTGTACATTCAGTCCAAGTGCAGCCTAAGCTCACCTAGGCGATGCGACAGATGCCACTCGAACGGCTCCTTGACGCTCCTCTTCCTCCCCATAGCACAAAACAATCGGAACATCCTCGCCTCCCCCTATCACTCAGCGACTCTCACAGTGCGCGTTCGTGATCCCTCCAGTCCCTACGACTCCGAAGGCAAGGGTTGGGACAGTCCCGCTTCCCGTGGCCGGGTCGCACTCATCGGGAATGTTACTGTGACGGGGAAAGATGGGTCAGACGTGGAGGAGTGTTATTTGGAGAGTCATCCAGACGCTGAAGGCTGGCTTCCGGGAAGGAAGGAAGCACCGGTACGCCCTATTGCGAACTCTACATATAAGAGGTGCTGAGTCGGACGCAGCATAATGCGTATTGGGCGAGATTTGATCCTCATGTGAGGGTGTTTACACAATGGATGGGAACCCAACTAATGTTCCGTGAAGCACATATATTGGGTTGGAGGATTCGGAGAGTGAGTTCATACCAAAAAACCCGGAATGCACTTCCGAAATTGATTTATGCTCCAGCGAACATTATATCGGCTACATCCCTTTGGATCTATACCAGAAAGCCGCACCCATCGTCAACGGCATGTCGGAGCCCCTAATCATCCAGTAATAGGTCAACGTTCTCGACACACTCTCTGCCTACCTCACCGCTTTGGATCTTGCACACTTTGTACAACGGTATTGCAATGGAAGGATATGAACTGCCGATTGTCATACCGGCCCGCTGCGCATCCGACCGCAATTTGAAAGCTCCATTCCTCGTTCCGGAAAAATGCTCTCACAGGTTGCCCATTATCAGGTAAATTGCATGGATTCTCCTTCGGTGATATGCTCGTCACCGGCCATGACTAACCACACATCTGCGATATCCTCTATCAAATGAGCTGTTGTGCCTCAGCCCCCACTCGTCCAGAACAGTGGTATGATCTTGCCCCTTCTCGAACAGAGTGAGACCGAGGTTTGGCCATTTGGTAAGCTCATCGGGACAATCTCGCAACATCGGTCACATTGCTCCCCCCTCGGTGCCTGGATTGCTAATACTCCTTCACCGGCCGCGACTCGTACGGTTTAATCGCAACAGGTGATGGACAAGAATGCAATGTGCTCCAATAATTTTTGCTCGTTCCATACAACGGAGTCTCGGCCGCCGACCAGGCACACAGCGGCGAGGCAAGATGTGGATGAAGTTGGAGGCTTGCAGCGCATTGTTGGTGCTCTTGGCCGATGTCGCAGAGCGCCCCAGGATCATATGGCGCTCGATCGGAAGGCTAAATTTCCCCATGGTCAAGGGTGTCGGAGACGATGTAACTCCGTGAGGCCAAGATAGGGGGCGCACCTGATTAGATAATCAGGGTCACCGTGGCGATCATGGGTTCGGTGATCGAGATGGCGCCCCATCTCGTCAGATCCGAGATTATGGTTTTCAGCAGCAAACGCCCTGAACTTTTTCAAAATTATCAGGCGCCCACGTTAGCGTCCTATGACTCGTGCTCAACCTGCATTCAGCTCATCCACAACGCTTACAACCACCGTCGCGTGCTAGGGGTACCCGCAAATTACTCGACTTGGTTTGTCAGGAGTTGGGCTCTTCCTACCGCTTCCGACGGCGTGGTATAGCCCGGAGAAGACCATGTTTGGCTGGAAAACCGAAGAACCGGAACGCACTAGTGGATAAACTTGAAACTTCAGGATGGAATGGAGCCGCTTACAAATGCCATCCCGTGAATAAAGTCGGGATTGGACCGCTTCTAGTGGAAAACCTGCCACATGGAGGGTTATGGTCACGACCGAGAACTTTACCGTGCGCCAGACTTGCCGTTTCAGGAAATCGCCGAAGAACCGAGCGATTCCAGCACAAGATAACAAAGAGGTTTCGCGTGACGCCTGAGAATTGCCACGTTACACACACGCGAAGACATATTCGATGAGCCGGATTAGTCTGTCTCGGCGCTCCAATTTAGTTGGGGCCGATGTGCACTCCCTTCATCGGCTTATCACGGTGTGGTCTGAGCTTTTAGGCCTGTGGAATGAGGCGTGTCCACATGGCTTCGAGCTTGATGCGCTCTCGGGTTAGCCCGTGGGGCGTAGAGAGAACGACCGAAATAATACCGACAGAGATCTTCCATGTGCTCGCTTGGCGATGACCTCTCAAGTGCCGGACATTATCGATGACAATGTTGGACCGATGCAGTGGAGCCACCGGAGAGAGTTGACGTGACACAGCGGCTGGCTATGCCATGAGAGCTGAGTAACAATGATGGAAAGTACGGGGGAGGCGCAAAAAAGCTTGGGCTGATGGGTCGAACCCGAATTTGGTGGTGCCTTGCACAGCCCCTGTGCCTTGGGGATTTCGGGCAAGGTCGGTGATGGGCAGGGCCGCGGGGCCCGTGTCAGACCGCGAAGCAGAACTGTGACATATTTTCGGAGGTATCAGAATGCCGGTATGGCTTCGTTTGATTCCCTGTTAGACGTCCGATTCTAAGCGGGCAAAGAGGGAAAGGGAGGATGGAACGATGGTGGGTTGAAATAAGTAATGGAGCGAAATGGAAGAGAGATCAGGAAAGTCTCTCTTGATGGAAAGTTCCGTGGAAGCGGGGATCAGAAAATAAGATATATGTCAAGGTGCGGAAACAAGATTACGGGAGCGATTTGCGTCACTCCAACACTTCTTACAGATCCGGTCAAGCCGCCAGAGAAGACGCGGCTTTGTTTTCTGCGCTTTCTCCTGAAAAAAAAGAAAAGAAGTCAGGAGAGATATGATGAAACAGGGCCGAGGAGAATGCGAAATTCCAGGAACAGTTCGTGGATATTCTAGATGGACAGCGGTTAAAGGAAGTGGCCTGGAAGAACCCGCGGAGGGCGGGGCAGGGGGGACAAGGCACGAATGAAGCGAGACACGTGGAGCGGCTGTGCGTCCTGCGTCAAACCTGCAAGCGGCAACAAAGCCTCGACCAGGCAATTTTCGCTTTTTGACTGGATCACTCCATTTGTGCTCTGAGATACCGCACTGAGCGGGAATGAGTACGGGGGCCGGGGAACACCCGAGAAAATCCAGGGTGTTGTGCAAAAGATCAAGTGGGGAAGTGTCCCCCGATTGTGAGTCGGTCCGTAAGTTTGGTGTGTCAGGGATACTTGTGTGCAATCCGGAGCAGAGAGGGCGCCGTTCAGAAGTGAAGCGCCCGGGGGCGGCTCTGTCTACAGGGATCATTTTTAGTTTTGGAGCGCGCGCCTGGTTGAACGCGACTGAGATTCGGATAGATCACTGAGCCCTTCTCCGCTTTCGTCCCCTTCTCCTCCTCCTCCTCGTCTGCATACCGTATACCCCCCCGCCCCCCAAAAACCCATCGACGACGCCCGCTCGGCTGTTTTGTCTCCCCATCAAATCACCCTCTCCTTATTGGGCGAAACACGGCCTTGATTTTTTCGTAATTTCTTGTCCGGACTCTCTAGCCTCGCCATTCCTTCCGGGGCCATCCTTGTTGCAGTTTCGCCCCACTGAGCGAGGCATGTCAACCATCCCGAGTCCGATAAAGGCACAACGCCACGCCCCAGCCTTTGGACGTCCCCAGGTTCCCGTCCCAGATCTTATCCTTCTTTAGCCTCTCCCCGCCATCGGGCTACCAATTCACTCATACACGGTTGTGAACACCACCGTCCCGGTTCTGTAGGCTGGCAGTACACGCTTCCAAAACGTCGACCCTTACCATCTTCCCGTATTCCGGCACCTTCCTCGCCAACAAACACATACGCATGGTTGGCGTTACGTTCACTGTTGACGAGGACATCAATAACTCCTACTCCCTCGACAACCCTCAGCCAGCCGTCAACGCACCACAAGCGCTTCAACACCCTCAACCGGGGCCATCGACACACCAACAACCTCAATCCGCACATTCATCGCAGTATACTCGACCATTGGCCACCTCCACTCCCATGACCTCGCTACAACCTCTTCCCATGCAAGCTACACACCGTTTGTCAGTGACATCGCCCATTCGTATTGCCACAGACGCTAGCTTACTGACCCGCAGCGACAGGCAACATATGTCGGGGCTGCCGTCTCCTCCAAATCCCGCCGACACAGGAGAGGCTGACCCGTCTCCGTTTGCCTGGAGCCCGCCGGGGACAGCAAATCGGGGAGGACACCCCTATCAGCCCCTGACATCTCCAGATAATTACTCGTACAACCATCCATTCGCCCACTATGGGCCATCAAGCGCCCATCCTGGCAATCCTAATATCGCTGGACCGTCAACGGTGCCGACGCTAACATATACGAATGCGTCAGCATACGGTCCATACAGCTCCCAACGTCGCTCACCACATTCGACTAACCCTTCTTCCCCTCAGCACCATTCTTACCTCCCCGCTGGCACCGAGGCATACCCCCATGGAACGTCTGGGTTCGCTGTAGACACGCACTCGCCGTCCGTGTCACCGCCAAACCCATCGCCAGTGTTCGAGCAGAATTACACGTATTCCGTGTATACACCTGCCAGTCTGCCTCCACCACCGCTGTACACGTCGGCACATCCCCACCCCTCGGGGGTTGTGGATCCTGGTATCGCGGGTCCATCGTATTCCCATGGTTCAAACACGTCGCCCGAAATCGCATATCATCCGCGGCCGAGTACAATGGGGCTTTCTCCATCATCACGATATCACCCGTACGCAACAGCAGAGAAGGCAGCCCTAGGTGCATCAATGGCGCCTGCAAGTCCGACGAGCAAGCCGTATGCGTGTCGGCTATGTCCATACACGTCGTCGAGGTCACACGACCTGAAGCGGCACATGCGGACGCACACCAATGAGCGCCCGTACGAGTGCGAGGTGTGTCACAGGACGTTCGCGAGGAAGGACGCTGCCAAGCGACATATGGCGGCCAAGAACTGTGGGGCTAACGCTTCCGGAGGTGGACTGGGTACAACGAAGAGCCGCACCGAGGTCGACGGAATTGCGGCGAGCGGACCAGGCAGAGCTATTGACGGTGCATCTTCCGAGGAGCAGTCAGATGATGAAGACGAGCCAACAGCAGAGGGAGATGGGTCGCCAACGCCACGTGAGCAGGTACAACTGCAGGTCGAAATCCCAAAGGGACGTCCAGGTGTACCCCCGAAGGTCGAAGAGAAGACGCCCACCCCACCGTCGCCCATGGGGTATCCAGCAATACCTTACCCCCAGGGTTTACAACTCCCTCAAGCCGCCCTCCCACAGCCTATGATATCCCCCACAAGCAGCTCTCTGGACCGTGCAATGGTGATCCACCGAGTAGGCCACCCGGACGCAACGAACCCAGCGCCAGCAGGACTTCGTGGCGCCTTCTAATCGATGGAGCGTCTTGCAGAATGTGACATCAAGTGCTTTCACAACATCCCACCAACCCAATCTCTTCTCATGCACCCTCGTTGCGCCAATTTCTTCTCCTATTTATCTTCCACTCGTCTGTTTCGCGGCTCTTCTCTGCTCCCGGTCCGTATCGCGGACATTATACGAACGGTCGGGGTGAAATATGGTATAAGAACCGTTCCGGGATGTTGTCGTATAGTACTTACAACTCTCCCACCCGTCTTTGCGTGCACCAGAAAGGATTCCATACCGAATCGCGCCGCGGACGAGGTGCAAGTGTAGTGTAGCCATGGCAATGTAGAACGCAGGTGTTAATGGTGTAATTCTGCGTTTCTGACTTGAGTTACTATTGGATAAACGACATGGTCAAGACGAAAAGGACGCCCGTGCATGACTAGTCCGAATTAGAACTATAAATTCGCTGCGTTTGCGTATGGAATTACGTTGCTAGGTATATGTCAAGCCATGCGGCTAGTTTAGGCAACCGGTCGTTAGTAGCCTCCCCACTACCCTTGCGCCCGGTGCTTCCCAAAGTTGTCCTTGACAGCGACCAATAACTATTATCCGTCTTCAACACGTACGCGGACAACGATGATGACCTCCGACACGCTCACAGCTTACGTCTCCCTCACCCCCGTCGCCGATGCAGTGCCTATCGAACGCATACAGCGCAAACCGGACTGGAAGAAGCCACCCCCACAACATATCACCTCCGCGTCTCTCACGAAGAGCAATATCGGTACCGTAAAACGCATAAATCAGGTCGTATTTCCCATATCTTACTCGGCAAAGTTTTATGGTGCGTCATTCATCTCCTGAGCAATAGAAGGACGGTCAATGACGCTGTGGCTGCCATAGATGAGTCGCTGGCAGCAGATATGGAGGAGTTCAACCGATTAGGTGCGCAAGGTCGTTCTCCTAACTGGTCTAGTTCTGGCTAAACATCGCGCATAGTGTACTGCGCCGACATCCCCGTGGCATGCATATGCTGTCGGTTGGAAAAGATGCCCGGGTCCGACTCGGCCAAGCTCTATATAGCAACAATGGCGGTTCTTGCTGTGCGTCTGTATAATCTCATAGCACTTGTCATGACTGAAACCGAGCAGGCATATCGATCCTTAACAATAGGACACCAGATGCTCTCTCTCGTTCTGCACGCTGCTGCTAAGCATAAATCTCCCAAAATTTCGTCTGTGTATGTGCATGTGCAAGTCTCCAATGAGGAAGCACGAAAATTCTACGAGCGGGAAGGGTTCACGGTCATCAGCGAGGTGAAGGACTATTATAGGAAGATTACTCCTAAGGAGGCGTGGTTGATGGAGAGGGAAATAACGCCTGATGATGCGGTACACAAGGAGGATGTGTAGGTGCGGTTGCATTCAAGTCAAATGGAACAATGTACGCTCTGCAATATGAAAGCTGTCGAAGCAGAGAGTACAACATCTCGCGGTAAAAGGTACGACGGCAAGATTTGTCGACATGCATATTTGTCCATTCATTCTGACGCAAATCATTTAAAACTGTTGTCGAACGAAGGAGAGACGCACTCGTCATTGCAAACTTCTTCAGCGAGCGGGTCTTCCTTCTCTGGCTCGCCAAACTCAGCGTTAAGTCTCTGTACTGCCTGCCTACTAATACCTGTCCTGTCGCAACACCTTCCTCTCAGCCTCTCTCCCAACCCTCTCCCCTACCGTGTCCGTCTGCAGGCCAATCCCAACCACTCGATCGCCATCATCGTTCGATATGTAAAAAGGAAAGTGGAGCGTATCCTGAAACTCCGTTATCTGCCCCATAGTCTCCAATCTCGTCCACACGGGCTCTTGGTTGTCCAACGCGTATTGGCGAACGTTGTTATTGAACGGGTTGCGCTGAACGGGTGTGGATGGTGTGGCCATGGGCGTAATACCAACGAGCTCAGAAGATGATAAAAATGGTTTAATGTGCGCCGTTGTGGATATTGTTGATGTCAGAACTTTCATCTCTTTGGGTGTGTTTTGAGGAGTATCTGCATGTTGCCGGTCGTTGATGGTGGTTGTGATACGCTATATATAGTGACCCCGCATAGGATAGTACGTTGCGCCCAAGTCCGTCCTTCTCATTGCCGTTAACATTGACATAACTTGATTCCGACCACTCAATCTATCCAACAACCAATCAGGCCACGCATCATCCATCATATCCATGTCCATTGTCCATGATCTCCTGACTGGCTACTCATCTGCACTGATGAAGTATTGGGAGTCTATGGGTATCGCGATGCCGCTGGCAATTGCTCACTCTACAAAACAGGCAACAACGAGTTTGGAGATCTCCGCACCTAATTAGCTCTGTATTGCTGTCGGGGGATTTTCTCGATTTGCCTGAGGCATGTTACAATCAAGGTCATCCAGTCATCATCTTATCTGTCGACCTCTTGCTCTGAACCTCGCTAGTGGCCCTTACGTAGGCTAGGTTCTTACTACTGACTACAATGGTGAGTATGCTAGAATAATCCGAAATCGCCTTCGGCTGACCAAATAGATGGTGCAATTCCCTCCCTAGCAACCGGAACAATCCCCTTGTATTCATCGCACAGAAGCCTTCGAAGCATGTTACTATCACATTGGCACACCGACCGAATGACATCCGATGATATTGCGATACTGCCCTGCCTGAATTGGACAGTATGACTGGGGCTTCGGACAGTACGACTGGGAGTCAGGTCGGTCGCCAATGTGACTACGTTTCATGCTCAGGCTTGGAACTGCATTGGACCGGTTATGAGGCTGGTCATCTTCCAAAGTGATCTGGTGTCGAAATTGGCTTTGGAGCAGTTCGAGGGGAGGTCCGTGACCCTTCTGTGTAAGGCATGGATCCGTTTCTTCGTAAGGTTTTCCTGAACCTGTTGTGCCGATTCGGGACGGTTGGAGCTGTTCGGTTACGGCCTCTTATACCACGTTTTCCCGCCGATGCGCAGCGACTTCAAGTATGCGACATGCTTCACGAGGTACTTCCTTTTGTATGACTCGTGCGTAAAATCCATCTTGCTCTTTCAACCGCACGATCATCCCCCCTAGCGCGCACCAGTCCTCCACCTTCGGCTTGTCACGTTGCACGGATAATCTCGCTCGCTACCACATAACGATACTCATGCCAATGTGACTATCTGATACGTACAGTCAGCAACCATACCAGGATCAAAGTCAACCTATGGCACGTGCGTTTTCGCTATCCCCAACTGAGTTTGAGTCCAGCGACTAACTGTTCCCCACTATCGCCTGGTAGAGAAGGTCACCTGGGGCATGACTGGACGTCTATTTCGGCTTCCTGTTCGGGTGAGCAATGGAAATGTGGTGTTCGGTTCCACCATCCCTCGAAGTTGGGAGACGTTTAGAAACAGTTGGAAGCTTGTTGGTATCCATGCCTCAACGTTCGAACTCTGAAGATGAAGACACTCCATGGGGTTTTGACACTGCAACCATCGCCTATATAAACCGTCACTTCGCCGCTGTCCCTTTCCTCAGCAGACCAAGTCGCCGCTCAGGTTACAATCCGATTTTTCTCGACTTCACGGCAATGCAGCTCATCCTCGTAACTCTCCTGGCCCTCGCCACTCTCGGCATCAATGCGATCCCCGTCGATACTCCTGGTAAGACTATGTGACGCCTTGGAAAGAGAAATCGTGCTTAGTTTATACAGATGGCACGATCGCTCCCCTTGAGCATGAAGAGCTAACGCATATCTACTGGTCCCATGAGGAAGAGAGCTACATGCGAAAGCGTGAAGTTACCCCGGGACATTCGTACACTCTCGACAAGGACGAGCCTTATGGGGTGAGAGATGAGGTTCCTAGTCCACCCGCCCACTCGTACACCCTAGATGCGGACGAAAGCCTCAAGACCAAGCGCGAGGAGCCGAGCCACGTACACACTCGACGAAGATGAGGAGTACAAGGTCAAGCGCGAGAAGGCTCACTCCTACACTCTGGATGAGGATGAAGAGTACAAAGTTAAGGGCGGGAAGACTCACTACTACCACCTTGATGAGCACTAGAAATCCACGCAACTCAGAGCCACCTATCTACCTATTGTCGTAACAGCTACAGAAATTGTGTACCAATAGTCGTTTCTCACCGACCCAAATCCTGTTTTGTCAATAAACGATGTCTTGTTGCTACATGTCGGTGTTATGATTTGTTGTGGATTCGGCGGTTGAGAGCGCGATGGTGATGCGGTTGGATGACTCGTGCAGCGCGAGACAGATGTCGCATAAACCGAGGGGAGCTCGCCTCATCCTCTTTGGAAGGCTTTTGATTCTAGTCGGTCTTAGGCTGACTGGAACATAGAGAGTTCTGAAAGTGGCGGTCGAAGAGACATCAAGGGTTAGCGTTGCCGTTGTCTCGTCTTTGAGATCGGAGTTTTACAATCTCGGCTCCGAGACATTTTTGTCGAATCCATGCCAAGTAGGCAATAAATAATAATTGTATTATAGATTTCATTTTTCTCAATAATAGAAGTTAGAGCCAAATAAAAATACAAAACCATTTCTATT